AAACAAGAACGGCTCGACACCGCTACATATCGCTGCAGAAAATGGCCATGCCGACATTGCGCGTACCCTTCTCGACCGCGGTGCAGCTGTCGACGCGCGGGGACAGGACGGGTGGACACCGCTACTTCTCACTGCATATCATGGCCACGCCGACATTGCGTGTACCCTTCTCGACCGCGGTGCAGCTGTCGACGCGCAGGGGACAGGACGGGTGGACACCGCTACTTCTCACTGCATATCATGGCCACGTCAACATTGCGCGTACCCTTCTCGAGCGCGGTGCAGCTGTTGACTCGCAGAATAAGAACGGGTTGACACCGCTACACATCGCTGCACAAAATGGCCACGCCGACATTGCGCGTACTCTTCTCGAGCGCAATGCAGCTGTCGACACGCGGGGACAGGACGGGTGGACACCGCTACATATCGCTGCACAAAATGGTCACGTCGACATCGTGCTCACATTTCTCGACCACGGCGCGGCTGTCGACACGCAGGATAAGGTCAGATGGACCCCGCTGCTCTACGCGGCCTGGAATGGGCACATCGGCGCCTCCCGCGTTCTCCTCGGCAATGGTGCCGACGTCGCAGCCGTGGACATCTACGGATTTCGCGCGCTGGACCATGCGAAGGCGAAGGGACATACTGAGGTCATGCGCCTGCTTCTCGATCACGGCGCCGAAGAGAACCCACCACACGACGAACCCGCGGCCTGAGACGTGCATAGACATCACGATGGGGCGCATCGCACATGTGCCGTACAGCCCGTAACGCGTTCGCGGAGGATAGGCGATTTGGAGGTTGAGACACTGTTAGGAGGAGACAAGCGGAGGGGATGGACAGGCGAGCGGTACGCAAGGTCAAAAGCCCCGGTGCGGCAATGTGAGAAGTGGGCGAAGAGACATCTCGAGGGGCGATCCACCAGTCTGGCTATATGATTTTTGTGCTCGTTCAGCGTATATTTCATACATTCTTAGAGGATAGAACACTGCAAAATTATGCGCATATTTTGTAACTGTAGAATCGATATCATACTTGGACACTCCGCTGCTGCAAATCCTACCACACCCCGCCGTCCTCAAGCTAGCTTAGCACCCTTGTTGAGATTATCGAGACAAACCGTATCATCGCAAGCGTACCCTCGACGATCCGTCCTGATTATCCCGCTCCCCTGCGTCGTCTTGAAGACCGTCTCGTCATTGATGATTGCGACGCCCATGCCGAATTGCATCATGGAAAGCGGCCTGAGGGTACACGGTGACCGAGATTGGAGAGTGGGTTGCATCGTGCATGACAAAGTCGCGGTGACAGAAAGGGAGAAGATTTCAACCAGTCGATGAGTTTCACGATGTGCTTGAGAATTTACTACGTGCTTACGCTTTAGCTCGCAGGTGTGCACGTCGCCAGAGACGCCACGAGTTGTCAGAGTGCACCTTCACGAAATATCTCGTTCCTGCCGTCCAGGATACTTTGGTACTGGCATTCGGCGATGAAGAGGCGTGCTCCGGGTGACGGCGGCTTGGTGAGCGAGGCTCGCGGAAGATCATATCGGCTGCGCACCTCATTGAGATCCCGGCCTACGCTACTTGTCCAAATACTTGAAGTGCACGCCTGGCACTGCACGGCCAATGACATGCCCGACGGTGGCCTGTTGGCTCTGTTCGAGTTAGATCGATTTGGAAGCATGTTCAGCTTCCAGCGGGCACGATTCTGGCAGAGCACCAGAGAAACAGCAGTTCACGAGCGGCATATTCAGTTGTGAAGCTTTGAAGGCCAACGCCTTTGCAAACGCGAGGTAGCAGTAGCTGAGAAAGGGCAGGAGGAGGACACAGCGCAAAAACAACAAGATATATCGAGATTGCGCTTGCACGCTACGATTAGACAGCTGATGATATTTGAGCGCTTTGAGCGTCCTTCCCCTGCAAAGAGCCGACCGATGTGCCCTCCGCCCCAGCGTACGCCGAAGTAAAGGCCTTCGCATGCATACACTTCCCATCAAGTGCACTGTGGCGGATCTGGGACTAGCTCAGGCCAAGTTATAGTGCATGGCAGTGTCCGGGCCTAGCCTATATAGCCTGCGAGGCTCTCTTTCTTTCACGCCACTGCCACCTGCCATACACTTCTGAATGTCCCCTTCCGCCTTTCCATTTCTTTCTGCAACAATGCAAATCTTGACCTCGGGCTCTCGAGCGTCCTGGGCGCCACTCACGCCGATTCGCGCTATGTCTAGGTGTACCGGCCAATCGATTCTCACAAAGATGTTACTACTACGGCTTCCTCCTTCCCAAGAGGCGAGATGTTGATTAGTATCGTTATTTTTGTCTCAGCCGGAGTGCGTGCAATGGAGACTCAAATCGTTGTATATCTGGCAAGGAACTAAGATGCGGGCGCGATATCTATAAAGAAGGTATCAGCCACCACCTCTCCAGCATGTACGGAGATTACTAGCTTACCAACCAGCTTTCGTGGTAACGGTGCCGGATCCACTCCTCAAGATCACGAGCAATCTCGTCCGCATGAGAGAGAACAAGCCAGTGGTCCGCGTCACACTCTTTTATAGTCAGAAAGTGTCTGCTGAACACCTCCTGCGTAAAGGACACGTAGCAGGTCTTGGGAAAGCAGACATAGTCGTGTTTCGCCGCGCCAAAATAGATTTGCGCATTGTCCGGCGGGAAATTTGCACTCTGACGGGATCTCTGCAGCAAAACGCTTGCATTAGCCACGTCAAGTGAGAGATCTCCAGGGGGATTCAGAGACGCACACCGGTCATCCTCGGCGGACAACTGGCTCGTCGCGAACTCGAACCAGCACGTCAGCACCGCAAAGCCGCTGCGCATGAACGTCTCTCCGCGTCTTCCTTGGAGAGGTAAGCTGGCCAGAACGAGACAAAGTTGTCAAGCAGACTCTTCTCGAGTGCGTCCGTCGAGGCCAGGTGCTTTTTCTAGGTCGCAGGGTTGCGGAAACATGACGCTGACGAACGAGTCGATCTGCGAAACACGCCAGCGGTTATAGGACGAGGTGTGCACGTGTCTGCCACCTACGTGTGGCCTTGCTCGCGTCTGATTTACCGAGAAATTTCAGTCGGCCGAACGTCTCGTACCCGAGAGTACAGGAACATTTGGAAGTCCATCGGGGGAAGGGCTTGTACGAAGGAGGTGGCGGGGAAGGCGTAGCCGAGGATGCGTTCTGGGGCGCAAGATCGCCCTGCAGCCCCTGCAGTTGGCGGCTTAGTATCCAGGGTAGCCCCCAGCGATGAGGAACAGAACAAACTCACCAGTCCTGGCCGATGTAAATAACTTTCTCAAGCCTCTCGGCATCCAAGGCATCGACAGTGTCTTTGGACATCAGGCTCGGGACGTACGCTGCCGGGTCGGTGTGCTTGTCGGTCCCGCCATACCCGAGCATGTCCAGGACGAGTATGCCGTAGCCCTCGTCGTTCAGACGAGGCACAGTGGATGCCATTCGCGAGACGTGGATGGGAAGCCATGACAGAACGGCAGGGTCGAGTCGATCTGCGAGACGCGTCAGAAACTGCAGGACGAGGAAGGCACACGTCCGCCACTACATGCGTCCGGATGACCTCGTTCGCGCCCGGCTACTTGAGAAGTTCCACTGAATGTCTCGTATCCAAGGTGCTGCTCCAAGAAGCCCAAGAGCGCTTGGAAGTCCACCGAGGGCAGCATTTGCACGAAGGAGATGGCGAGGAAGACGTAGGTAAGGACTCACTCGGGATAACAGTTCGTGAGGCACGAGATCGCATTGTAGGCCTGCGGGTAGCGGTTTAGCACCTGAGATATTCACAAGCGAGAAGAGATAGGCTGAGCTCACCAGTCATGGCCGACGGCGATAACCTTCTCACACTTCTGGGCATCCAAAACATCGCCGATATCTTTCGATATCAGGCTCGGGAGGTACGCCGCCGGGTCGGTAGGCTTGTCGGTCCCGCCATACCTGAGCATGTCTAAGGCAAGCACGCCGTAGTCCTTGTCGTTCGAGCGAGGCACGATGTGTCGCCAGTCGTGAGACGTGGATGGGAAGCCACGGCAGAATAGCAGGATCGGCTTGGAGGACTGGGGAGGGGAGATGCAGTAGCGATGTCCCAGGCCGCGAGAAATGACAAGGTCCTTGTACAGTGATGCGTCCATGAGACGATGAAGTCGATGGGAGGGGGAGTAGTAGACTGGTTCGCGTGTTTATGCGGCATAACGGCCGGCAACGAGACGATTTCAGACCAGCCGAGATTTGGCCAGGAATATCGCGGACAGGGAACCAGAATAGTTTTCTTTCTGTGAAAGATGTAGGAAGAGGCTGCAATGAGATGCATTAACGCTCAGCGCGAGCAGCGATGCAGGCTCAGAGCAGGTCACGGCCAGTCCGAGGTTACTGAGAAGAAAACCGCCGTCCTGCAGGGTGTCACCCGCGGTCTGGTTAGGGTTTGAGCTGTCAGGCGCTTTGGCCAGGGTTCGCTTGATGAGCGCCCTTGAGGACGGCTTGCTGAGGGGCGAGGACGGTACCGCTGCCGACAGTACCAACTTCGACACACGGCATTGAGACAGTAGACTTTCGCCATTGTCCGTTCTGCAGCGAGCGCGGGTAAGCGATGAATATCAGTAAAGCCAGGCTCTCTACTCACGGTTCCACAAGCATCATGCAGCTGGAGCTCCCGACGTTCTGCGCAGAGTTCTGACTGATAGTCAAGATAGCAGCCAGAATATTGACCGCATGGGCATTGAACCCTCTAACCGAGCCAGCCATCGCACTGCCGACGACGTTCTTCTTGATGTTCAGGTTGCACAGCGCCTCGACGGTCGTCTTGAGGGCAGTATTGGAGATCTTGCCGAGAATGATGGCTTCGGCGACGATACATTTGCCACGGCCCTCGATCCAGCTAATTGCAGCGGGCTTCTTGTTTATTCGTGCAGCAATTGCCCGAAAGCGCGAGGACGGTCATCTCTGGGAACTCCCTGTCCAAGACTTCGAGCGCCTTCTCCGTCGCCTTCAAGATCGTGTTCATGCCCATCGCAGCGCCAGTGCGGGTCGTGAAACGAGCGTACAGTGTACAGTCGGCCATGGCACACTTGACGCTCTGGAGCTTGTCGAAGCGGGAAGTAGACTCGAAGGCCTCCTTGACAATGCCGTAGCCCTCGGGCTCTCGATCCATGCGCGAGCAGCGGCGGCCCGCACGATACTCGGGAAGTTGACGGCAAGTCCAAGACTCATGCCGTCGTAGGTGACAACGGTCGTGGCACCGCCAGAGTTGAGCGCCTTGTATTCGCGAGAGATAAAAACAACAGGTGCGCTCTCAGCGGTGGCCATGGGAATAGTGCATTTCGCCGTAAATCTTCAGAGGGCCAGCGATACCAAGTGGAATGGGCATGTAACCAACGACGTTCTCGCAGCATGCACCCATCGCGCGGGAACAGTCGTAGTTGGCTGTGGGGATATCCTAATGCTCAAGTGTCTTGGCCTTCGAAGCACGAGCTGTCGCAAGGTCAGTATGAGGTATCTTTGAGCATATACGCGCGTGCTTACAAGTCAATGCACGACGGATCGTGACCACCCTATCGAAGCCACCAAGCATCTTCCCAAGCGTGTACGCGGCGATCTCACCAGAAGGATGACATCTTCGTCCGTGGGTAGTGACAAGCTTGCAGACGCTGGCCGGGGATCAATCTCGAATACGTCGATGGTTTCCGTCGAGTGGCCGGGTCGGGTCGTTGCGGACATGCTCGGCACGGGCTGCAGCCTCGGTAAGGAGGCGCCCCCTCTCAAGCTTCGCGTCGACAGTTGTGAGATCAACTGGGATGCTGAGGGCCGGTAACTTGTGCTCCTTCACAGGACTGTCAAGAAAGGCACGGGCAGAATGAGGCTCGAGCATCGAAGAAGGATGGGAAGTGACAACGGGCCCAGTGCTCGGGATGAGGATGGAAGGCCTTGGGGAATCACAAACATCCTCGTCAACGACCTTCTTGGATACGCGCGCACGAGAGCGAGAGCGTACGCCACCACGAACGATCGGGAGCCGGTGTTAGCGGCAACGCCCTTCAGTAAGAACCCGTTAAGGGCAATACTGATACTGAGAAGAACGGAGATCCACTTGGACATGACGAATGATTAGGGTGGACCAGCCGGACGTGAAGTTCTCGACAATTTCGCTGGTATTGGCTGTCCACGCGTCAGCACTAGTGCAGCCGGAGCGCACACTAGAAGTGAAAGCGATAGGATATGCCTGCGTAGCTGCTGAGGTAGCGCAAACATGAATGAAGGGCGCAATCTTCACATAAATCGAGGTGCCGTTGACGGCGGTGGTCGCTTCTACTTCGGCCAGAGCGGACAGGACGGTGGCAGCCTGGAGAGAGGTAAAATCAACGCGTGGATGGTCTCCACCAGCGCGGGGAGTGTGTCCGTGGTGGCACGCAAGAGCTGTCGCTGGGGAGGGTCGTGCAGAAGTTAGTGGTGTATATGGTGAGGAAGGCCGCTAGCTGTGATACATCCTCGTCAGTAGCTTGTGATAGCAAAGAAAGGTGTGCACGCACGAAGAGAAGCTTCAGCCTGGCTATCAGATCCACCTCAAACTCCTACGAGAAGCTGGGACAGGCCGGGCAGGTGCGAGCTGAAAGAGCTCGCGCTCGAGAACTGTTCCCGCCGCTGCTGTTATTCGGCTCGTTGCTGTTCGAAGACGTGCTGAGCGCAAAGGGGCGCGACTAGGTGTTCTGCAAATGGCTGTGCAAGAACGACGGCGGCTCGTAGCGCATCGAGGAGCCGATTGCAGAGACGGTGCTGTTACAGTGTGCGTGGGTGGTGAACTAGTGCAAGGGGTGCGTCGGCGTGTGCAGTGGCGGGGACTAGCCCAGCAGGAGCGAGAGCGCAAGATGTTCCGCCCGCGCCAGGGGTGCTGTCATGGCTCGAGCTGTGATGGGGACGCATTGATGGCTCGTCGAGGTGGAAATATCAATAAGAGATCATGTGAGCTGTCGAGGGCCGGTAGTCGTCGTACGGACTGACGGGACTTTCACTTTCTCGCCCGCTCTTCCAAAGCGTAATCCCGGCATAGTCCGACATCACACCCAGAATTCAGATCCCGCACGCGCTATGATTAGATAGCTGATTAGATCTGGGCGCACTCTAAAGAGCCGCAAGACCAGCATGTTCCACTTCTTTCTGCAACAACGCAAGCCTCGACCTCGGGCCACCAAGCGCCGCAGTCGCCAATATTTACGCCCTCAGTTTGCGCTGCGCGTAGGTGTACCGATCAGACGAGACGTTGATTTTATCATTTTCTTTCTCAGCTGGGTCGGGCTACAATATTCGCTGTAACTTACAACCGGCAAGAAAATGAGACACGAGCGTGATATCTATGAAGAAGGCATCAGCTACCGCATCTTCCGTACGTACGCTAGCTCAAATGTCAGCTTTCGTGGCGGCGGTGCCTTCGATCCATTCCTCAAGATCGCGGGCAGTCTCTTCTCCGTGAAAGAGAATAAGCCAATGGTCCGCGTTGTATTCTTTCATCGTCACGCTGTGCCCGCTGAACGCCTCCTGCCCAAGGGACGCACAGCCGGTCTTGGGAGTGCAGACACAACCGCTCCTCGCCGCGGCGAAGCGCTGGCCGGCGGGAACTTGTGCTCGGAAGGTATCTATGCAACAAGGCCCTTGCATCAGCCACGTCAAATGGGATAGATACAAGAGGATACAGAATGCACGCTGGTCGTCCTTGGTGGAAACCTGGCTCGTCGCGATCTGAAATCAGCACATCGGTGCCGCGTCTGAATGTCTCCGCAGCGTGCGTCGCATCTTCCTCGAGCAGGTGAGCTGGCCGGAGCAAGACAAATTTGTCGAGCAGGCTCTGCTTGAGCGTGACCGTTGAGGCCAGGTGCTCTTCCCGGACCTCAAAGTCGTGCAAACACACGACACTGACAATGAGCCGATTTGCGAAACGCGTCGACGGCTGCAGGACGAAGCGGGCACGCATCCTCCGCCGTACGTGTACCTGGATGACCTCGTTTGCGTCCGGCTCACTCGAGAACTCCCATTAGCCGAACGTCTCGTGCCCGAGCTGCTGCTTCAGGGAGCCCAGAAATCCCTGGAAGTCCGCCGGGGCAGCACCTGTACGAAGGAGGTGGCGAGGAGGATGTAGGCGAGGACTTGCTCGGATTACTAGTTTGCGAGGCGCGAGATGGCCTTGCAGCCCTGCTGTTAGTGGTTCAGTACCCGAGATAGCCCCAAGCGAGGAGGGACAGGAAGAGCTCACCAGCCATAGCCGATAGCAATAACCTTCTTAGGCCTCTCGGCATCGACGACATCCGCAATATCTCTGGATATCGGGCGAGGGATGTCCGCCGCCGGGTCGGCGGGCTTGCCGGTCCCGCCATGGCCAAGCATGTCCAGGGCGAGCATGCCGTAGCCCATGTGCTTCAGGCGAGGTACAAGATAGCGCCAGTCGCGAGAGGTGGATGGGAAGCCATGGCAGAACAGCAGGGACTGGGCAGGGGAGAAGCAGTAGCAGTACTGTACCAGATCGCAGGAGGTAATGGCGTCCTTGTACAGCGATGTGTCCAAGAGATGATGATATCAATGGTAAAGAGAGAGTAGCAGATTGGCTTGCGTATTTATGCGGCACAATGGCCGGCACGAGACGATTTCAGACCAGCTGGAACTGGCCTGGAATATCGCGTCCAGGTCATCGGAATATTTTTTATTCTGTGGAACACGCAGGAAACGGCGGCAGTAGGATACGTCAATGTTCAGTGTGGACGAGGACCGTCCCGCAGGCTGTCATTCAGGTTAGGGTTTGTGGCCCGCATACGATATTATGGGCGCTACGAGGACCGGTCCCAACGTCAACGCCCATTCTGCACGCACTCCACGACCTCCTACCGCTCAGACCGTGGCTCGTCGGTGCCCTCAATGCTTCTCCACACTTGTATCTGCTTGATTCCTGTCACTTATGCGCACTGTCTCAAGTCTCGGATCGCGTATTGCGGTCATGACAAGTCTAGCTAAACCCTGATTGAGATCTTTGGTACGTCTGTTTCATGCGCAGTGCGAGCTTCACCTGACGCATTAGCAGAAAGTACATTCTAGACGATCCAGTCAGTAATGCATGTCCCACGCGAGCGGTTTGAAGGCCCAACCGAGTGGTCGAAGAGGCGAGGATTCTCGACGTGCGTCTCCCTAATTATTGCATCTCATATATCCTTTGCTTATTGACAAGCTCAGTGGCTCTATCGACCTAGCCATTTCTTGGCAGAGCGGATAGCTAGACTTTGACACACAAGCGTCCGACGCTTCTATCCTTCTGCTCGACGACGACCAGTCTTGCCAAAGTGCCATTCGGCGTTTCAGCCTATTCGCCGGTGGCCCGCTCGGTGTGCAGGTGAGTTCTACTGTCATATGCACTGCATCTGCCCTAAGGGAGCTCAGGTTCTTGAAGTGTAGGGCATTCTCGTATAGTTCAGACTTCGGCGGCGCAAGCTTTGTGTTTTTAGACATTATCGCTGTATACGGCGGCTTCTTGTTCTGTCGCCTCGCCTCCGCTGCCCTATACCGCACCCGAATGGACCTTTTCCTTAGCCTTCGCCGAATGCTCAAACCTTGGCTCATCCCCGCGTCTGTGGAGGCGTACCCCTACCATCGAGCATGTCGTAGGAGCGTCGCGAGATGTCCACATCGGCGACGTCCTGCACTATCATCGGCATTTGCACCACTCGAGTCCAGAAGCATCGAAATACGATTGCGCTGGCCGTAGAATTTGAACGAAGGGAAGGCAAAGCAGAAGAAAAGAAGAAAGCGACCGTCCACCTCCATCCGCAGATCTGGCGGAAGATTTATTCGGCGCATCCAGCGAGGGCCGCATTACAGGTACGTACTCTTGAGAAGCTGTGTATGCGTTTATCAATGACTATTCCGGCAGATGTGTCCTTCCCATACATCGCATTTCATTCGCATCGATGACAGGAAATTGTCCGGCCAGTTTTCACAATCCTATCACCGTCCGAGCCCGCATATACAGCCACCAGGATCGATCATACAGATCCCTTGTGCATGTCATAACAAGATGGTGGTGTTTGGAATGCCGATATACTTCAATAGGGCAGAACGGAACAGCAGGAATCTGTTACTTTCTAGATGATATCGCTTTGCAAGGCGAGTTCTGCGTGAAGTCAAACAAGATGAAGCTGACAGCGAGACAGGTCTGAGTGTTCCGGATGTGCGCGTCCCTTTTCAACATTACATTCTGCGGTGTAAAATCCTACATTGTCTCGAATTTCGCAAAAATGCGCGCATGCAGGCATTTTTCTAACCTTAGACCAATATGGACTCTGTATCCTAGACCCGCTGCCCATAGCCGTGTATGTCTAATCGATGCTCGTTTCATAGCTGCTGACGCGTCTTTGACTACGTGCGTGAAGAGGGCACCACTGCGACATGCCTGCTTCTGAATACCCCACCGCAATACGCCCAGTCATCGTGGAGTGAGAGTTCGGACACGTATTTGCATCAGCGTACAGATTGACAGCTCATGGTCGGTTCCGTTTGCGGATGTGCCCGACGCCGCAACCTGCACGAGGCAACAGCGCATCAGGACCCTCCTCGTTGCACAGCGTCTACGCCTCGCTTTTTGACCACAACTACGCTGCCAGCGCAAACAGAGGAAACGGACAACGCAGAGGTACTGCCTAAAGTATGTCGTTTTCATCTCAACATCGTTCTGGCGCGTGGGGCGAACTGCCATGCGGCTCTGCAGCGTCAGCTCCGCTTGCCCAGACTGTCGTTACGCCGCGGCGACCCATGCTCATTCACGTCGTCGTTCTACGAGGCTGACTCCTGCGCAGCAAGAAGAAATTTACAGACGATACCTATCCACCGCTGCCACGTGGAGGGCAAGCCGACGGTGATCTAGGCGATCGTTCTCGCTACACCCGGACCAGCTTTCTCGCTTGTTCTATCGCTGCTGCCCCTGCAATAACCGCGACGATCATCGTTACTTCGAATTTTCTAAGCTTATTGCTCGTTTCTCTGGTAAGCTCGCTCTGTGACCCGCCCAACCTCAATATTCAGGCACTTTATCCGTCAGGTTTTCTTTGTCTTTCCGAGTGTTGGCGATGCAAGAATCCGTTCTTCGGTGCGCTGTAACGGCTACACTCGTTTTCATGTCATGATATACTCACAAGGACTTATTCTACTCTACTTAGACGAAAACGAGAACGGTCACCCGACTCCCCGGATAGCCGAAAACGAAAACGGTCATCCGACCCGGACAATCTGACACCGGTGAGTTCTTGGCATGAAAGCACGTTTTGTGCAAATACCTCGTCACGCCTAGTGTGCTGATATTCCCTCGCAGGTGGAGGATGCGGGCTGGCGTTTCGAGCTGGAAGGGACGTCTATCGTAGTTCCTTGTGAAGGCCCTCCTTGGCAAACTGCCACCCCCGACACGACTGTGATCTCTGCTGGGCTCGAGCAACGTGTCAACGGAAATGGAGACTCGGACACAACCTCGGAGGAGAACCGCCTGAACATCTGGGGCACGGTGCAACTTGCGAGGTCGGGACGCGTCCCTGAGGAGCTCTTGTTCAGATCTCTACGCGCGGACAACGGCACAATATTCCCCTTAAAGCCGTCTCGACGCTCTGAAGTCCCGCTCCAACAATTGCACGTGGGTCGCGGTACTATAACGAATATGTTAGCAGCTGTATCTTGTGCCGACATCGATCTGCAAGAACTGCTCTGCAACCTCAACCACATCCTCCAAACCGACTACTCTTTGGACACCCCTGGTCTTGAAGGCTGCTTGCAGCATTTCATGCAACGGTCGAAGGATTTTGGGGAACTATACGGCTTCCTGCGTTCTTGGTGGCATAGCGATTTCCGCCACGTCGTGGACAAGGTAGCCGCTCGTGAAACGGAGCTCGAGACGATCCGCCGCGACGCTATCCGTGGATCCTCCATCCAGAACTCCAGGATTCCTCCCCGTCGTGTATGGGATCTGCACTCCAACCGTGTCCTCCCGCTTCACGCTCTTCCCCGAGAGGCAGGCTCTGACCCTGGAGATATACCATCCAAGGTCTGGTGTGTCTCGCATAGCTGGGTAGACGAGAAGGATCGTGTCGACGTATGGACGAAGATTAACGGAGAGCGATGGCCTGTCCCTACCCCACGCAAGACGACCCTCGACCACGTTCGCATAGAGCTACTGAATATGGGCGCCGAGTCGTCCTCACAGGCTCCTGCTGAAAAGATAGGTTGGCTGGCATAAGGGGTCTCCGAAGAATGCAAGAATCTCTGCCACGATCCCCACAGACCAAAGGGACTATACGGTGGATACTGCAGCGAGATCGCCGTCCGCCACTGAGCGTCCATATGCTTGAGTAACAGGGTCCACGCGACGTCCGGGCTCACGTTCTCGTCATATATAGGTAGTGTGCGGCATTGGAAGATGTACGCAAGCCCAGAAATCCTGTCGAGCTCGTTGGTGCATGAGCGTTCGCGAAGAGTTTGGGCAAGGCTAGAACCGTCTCCACGGCTGTTGACCGCTGTCACGATACTGCGAAGACGGCCGAAGAACGCATGGCCATCTATGAGAGGTCTTCCTGATAGGCCTCCTGGAAGCCAGCTGAGCGGAGACTCCTGCAACGTCCAGACACGATTGAACCACTGTCGTGTTGAGCCCAGGATGGCTGGTGAGGTGTCGAGAGGCAGGCCGAGGCCATTGAAATAGATAATGCAGGGTGTCGAGGGACGGGAGTAGGTGTAGCCGATGGTGGGGACGTCGAGCTTCCACTCCTCTTGCCGTTGCGTCTCGTCCTTGTCTCGTCCTCTCTGCCTTAAGCATAGTACATCCAGCCACGCGTGCAACCTCACGCTCGTAGATCCGAGCCAGCTCTACACTAATACACAGGGCGTCTACTTCCATTCTGGTTACGTCACTGAATCATGTCATATCCTACTGGACGGTACCGCTCAAGCTGGAGCGGAAGAAATCGAGATATCCTGTGGAGATCAGGGGAAGTCTGTCAAGCTCTCAATCCTCGGCAGACATGGGGTACTTCTGGACGGCTTGCCATACTGCTTGATCAATTCTGGAGAAGACGTGGAGCGCTGGGTTGTTGGCGAAATAGTTGGAGAACAGACTGGAGATGGAGAGGAAGCACTCTTAGTCGCAAGATGGGCGGTCGTCCGGGTCGATCAAGACGAAGGCCAGCGGCTGGAGGCACTGCTAGCCGCCAGCAGGCGACGGATGCGAATAGTATATTGTACCGCAGAAGAGGCTGCACGCCGAAGCTCGAGAGTATACGACTATACTGTGGTACGTGATTGTCATGCTGGGAATCGCAGTGCAAGCGTGACTAACTCCAATCTCGTACTACCGATAGGCATACAACGAGCTGGCCGAGCTCAAATTGATCGGCGACTTCGAGACACCTTCGGTTCGTGTGCACCTGCGTCGCCATCTATTGTCAACGTGACTGACTCATGTGACCGCCAGTATTGCACACTCTATGCAGTACAGAACAGGCCCGACTCACGCATACTACTGTCCAACATGAACCCACCTTGGGTACCCAGCGACGATCGTCCTACCATCCCACAGATAATCATCCCG